CAGAGAATCACGCTTTAAAAGATTTTTTGCGGGAAAAAGAGCAACCAAGACGGAATTTCCGTCTATGTTGCTACAGTAGTTGTCTCGACTGCTACAATAGCAACCTAGACGGAACTGCAACAACATAGATAGAATTTCCGTCTAGGTTGCTACAGTAGCAACCTAGACGGTTACTGTAGCAGCCTAGACGGAAATTCCGTCTAGGTTGCTACAGTAGCTATCTAGACGGATTTTTAAATTCCGTCTAGATTGTATTCCGTCTAGTTTGGTCAACCTAGACAGAATTCCGTCTAGTTTGACTCAAACTAGACGGAATTATCCTAGACGGATCAACCTAGATGGATTTCCGTCTAGATTGATCAACTTAGACGGAATTTTTCGTCTAGGTTGCTCGTTTTTCTACTAGTGAGATACAGACAAATCATTCAAGATAGATATGAGAAATCGCCACACTAAGGACCCTACCTTAGAGATAGTGTTAAACAATCATACTCAATGGAATTCACCGATGTAATATAGAGCAAACACAAAGCACAATACTCAAATATAATCAAACTCAACACACTTAATTTTCATTAGACCACCAAGACATAAATCAGCTAGAAACAACCCTTCGAGCATGATAGATTCATTAATCTAAACATTTAATGACATCGGGAAGCTGGAAGACATATTTGACTAACTTAGTATCCTAGAGAGCATAAAAGTCCATGCAGTCCAGATTGACCATCATAGGAGTTATTGGTTGAGAATTGTTGACTAGGACTAGGACTTTTTATAGGACTTAACTTTTAGGTGTTATTAGTTTAGGACTAGAATTTTGGATTTAACTTTAAGGTGTTATTGGTCTAGGACTAAGATTTTAGATTTAACTTTGTGGTGTTATTGATTGCCTAGGATTATAATTAGGACTAAGATTTTAAAATCCAAATTCAAATCAAAATCATACTCTACACATTCTAGTAAAAAAGGTCCAAGAATAATTCTAAGTTAAAATTGAAGGATTGTGATCCCCCTCCTAGTAATTTCTCTCCCTTACCTTTAATAAATCCACATTTAAAAAAAAACCCATACCAACTAATGCTTATAAAACATGTATAGTTAATATTAAATATTAATATTAATATAGTTATTTAATAAATATTAAATATTTTTAATTTTTGATATATTAAATTTAGTAAAC